ACATTTTTAAAAAGCGTTTTGGTAGTGTCCCAGGTAGGAAAAGATACACAGAGTCTATAGCAATTTCTTACCTGGAGCACACATTTTGCAAGCCAGCTTGCACTTCCCTGACATGACTGAAGGGCTTTTAGGACAGTAGCCTCGGGACGCCCATTTCTTGCAGTAAGCTACATCTTTGTCGAAGCAGACACTGTCTGGGAAAGAGCAAGATCAAGGGTTGCATGTAAGTTACATTTGTTTTGTTATGTTGCTTTTTATAACAAATTCATTTACGAATCGGTATTCCTCTCTCATCCTTTACAGTTCGATGATAAAACACTGATTATTCTCCATAGCGTCTAGTATATGCAATTATAGAAAATTCACGGATAGACCTGTCCTGCTGCACGTAATTATTGACTGACGCAGCAATAGAATGGCGAGGTGAAGTCATTCCTCTTTGAATGTAAAAGCCCTCTTAGGATTGAGATTGCTCTGACATGGTCACNGTGTCTAGTATATGCAATTATAGCAAATTCACCGATAGACCTGTCCTGCTGCACGTAATTATTGACTGACACAGCAATAGAATGGCGAGATGAAGTCATTACTCTTTGAATGCAAAAGCCCTCTTAGGATTGAGATTGCTCTGACATGGTCACACACAAGTCAATAGACTGAGTGTGACTGGAACCAAACCCAAAACCATAGTAGAACTTAGAACCAAAACCAAATTAATCATCCTAGCCAATCACAAACAACACAGATAATCCAGTGAACCAATTAAAACTCGAAGTAATTACATGGAGCTGACGCCAAGCCCCCGAAAACGAATGAATCTGTGTGGGGAATGCAAACGTGTCACGATTGATTTTGGTTTTACTTCTGATTGGATGAAAAGGTGGCGCGAGTTTTTTAAAGCCAATCACGTAGCGTGGTTGATGCAAAACCAATTATTTTTCGACACTGAAATAAAAACCGCTCGAATTACCGTCTTTTAGCTTTGCCTGGTTCCAAACGGAAGGTACAGATGATGCGCTGGGTAGAGAGGCTTGGATGTTGAATTTAAAAAAACGTTTAAGAAAGTCTTCACTGTCGCCAGATGCAATAAAGAGCTAA